AGTTTTAATACAGATGCAGGAAACTGGCTTCAACAGCAGTGACAGCACAAAGTTCACCTATGTCACATTCACATTCTGAAATAAAGGTATGCTTTTAAAACTAGCAACGTTTTGTCTACGAGAGACTAAGAACTAAGGAGCTGTGTACTCTACACTTGTAGAGAAATCCAACTAAATTAATTCTACACATTAGTTACACTTCCTTGAGCCACCAGTGCTGTTGGTGGTGGGGGGGGGGGGGGGAGAAGAAGTGGTCTCTAAAACGGCTTCTAATTGCTACCTGGAGACAGCTTTGGCTAAAAACATTCCTCTCCCCCATCCATTTGAGGGTTGATTGACGTCGGAGAGCCTTAACTGTTCCCCTGGGACGCCACACACAGCCTCTTTGTGCGGCCATTAGAGCCGTGCCACCATGATGTCATGCAGCGCGACCGCAGCGGGGTCCATCAAAGACCACAGCGGCGGAATGGACCTTTATTGCTCCCACACAGGAAGGGGCTGAAGTCCACTCTGCCCCCCCCCTCCCTTCCATCTCTTTTTCTTTCTCCCTGAGTGTGTTTTGCTCCGGTCTCCAAGCGACCCTCGGCCAAAATACGACGTACCCAGAGCTGGCGCATGACATCACTGCCGCCGCTAATTTAGAACTTATTAAAGCGCATTTCTTGTAAAACATTTGCACCTTTCTTCTGTGTTCCACTCCAGAAACACTGGAGCTTTATATGTATTTCTGAGGCGTACTGAGAGACTGAGCTGGAGGCCTGTTGTTGGTTTGGGCTTCAATGGAAGAGCTCAGAGAGCCAGAGGGGTTGCAGACCAGACGGAGTCGGCACTGGTCCGATGATAAAGAAGCACTATTTTTCCCTCGAAACATTGACAGCCAGACAACTCTCGCCATTGTCATTGGAAGTGCAAAATGCATCCCAACCCCGCGTGTAATCCCTCCCAGCTGCTTGGGGAGTTGCGGTGTCTCTGATCGAGAGACGGTCCCTATCGTCAGTGAGTTCAACATGACAATGATGGGTCTCATCCTATTGGAAATGGGCTGTGGCCTGGCATCACCTCCCCCCCCCCCTTCATACTGCGCCAGGACCCAAAAAAAAAAAGAGTTGACAAACCTAATAACGGCAAAAACCACCTAACGAAAGACAAAGTATGCCATTCCGCAAAGTATTCGTGTCAAAATGTGTGTGTGGCCTTCATCAGAACAATGCAGATGCCTCTCTGATCTTCAACAACACACCCGGCAGATAGCCAGGATGCAAATAATAGACGCGACAAACTAAGAAGTACGCACAAACTGCGGCGTGAGGGTGCGTCTGGATGCTCGGGACGGAGCTCATGTGGGAAGCGCTGCTGTTTGAGATGCAAGAATTGGCTGACGATGAAGGAACGATTCCTCTCTTTACATGTGGGTTTGGCCGTCGGAGGATGAGAGATTCCAGCAAGAATGGGAGTTTTGTTCATCGTTTCTTCTGCTTTCATCGTGTTGTCATTTACGTCTTTGATGTGGGGGATAGTTAAGGCCCATTGCTTTGGGCTTTTCATTGGCTATCCAAGTGTTAATGAGAACCAGAGCGGGTGAATGGGATTTCCGCCTGGTTGTTTGTTTTCGTGCATCTAAAAAGTCTAAAAGAAGACACTGATGACTGTAGTTGATGGTAAGTGAGTTTACAGAGAGTGTGTGTGTGTGTGTGTGTGGTTAGCATAGGCGAGGGGTCTCGTCCTGGCCTCCGAGTGGTTCAGTGGGGAGGAGGCCGAGCTGTGACCTCGTTCCAGTCATCGCTCATGAAAGATAACATGTCATCAGAGTGTTAGGAGCAAGAGGCGCGCGCCGTCTGACTCGAATCACGCCTCCTCACAAGTGCCCCCCCCGACACCCGTCTTTAACCTCCGAGCCGCGCTCCTCACGCTGAGCAACAGTCAGCAGCTTCCACACTCTCAGTTATGCAAAACGTTAGTACCCGTCACATTTTAAGGCCGGATGCCATTTCAAAAGTTTCAACACTGGCACTCTTGTGACACTTCAAGGTTTTGTGGAATAACCCAAACAATACATTTTTCTATGTCTTACTCAGAGTAATAAAAACATGTTTTTCAATCATTTCTGACAGTATTTGAAATCCATCCATCTATCTATCTACACGACAAAATCTGAAAATATTTTGTGAAAAAAGATTTAGCAGCAACATAAAAATTCTGACCAAGCAATGCCAACTTGCATTACTGGCTGCTATAGACACAATTCAGCCGTTACCCAAAAACTATTGAGGTTCCTGTCAGTCTGAATCAGGACCCTCTTGCCCTCAGTCTGATTCTGAAGAGAGATACTGATTTACCACACACTAGCATATTGAAACGGGTGGGGAGCCTTAAAGAGGAAGGTGGTGCCCATTTCCTCACCCCCACCCTTACCAGTCCAGAACCGGAAAACCTCATTTGTATTTCTCAAAGGAGGATTATCGATAGTGAAATTTCAGTTGTCGTATGGAGAACAAGTGTTGTTTTTTGACGCCTCGCTCTAATTTCCGGTTCACATGCTGCCATTATGAGTCACATCAATGTGTTTGTATTTGACAACTCAAAGAATTAAATGTTGAACAGAATGAATTGAAAATACAAAAAATGAAAACAGTGGTGGCAGTGGTCAATGTTCTTGCAGCCATTTACCCCGACACCAGCTGTTTCAGCGAGTTCCAACAGTGCAGCTCTGTCAAAGGCTGGAAACCAGACATGACCCGCAGCACAAGGCTAAATGCATGCTACAATTACTGTACGTACAGAACCGTCACCGGACAGAAGCAGCTGTTACCTGCTCTTTATACAGCTGTTTAAAAAAATGGCAGGACGGGCCGAGAGGAAGCAAGGATAAGTACACAGAAAACACAACCGAAGCTTTGACGATACTTTTCATGGTACCCATCATTTAAAACCTATTTGCATGGTAAATCAGTAGATGTTAAAATGTTATAGAATCACGAAAGCTCCTGTAAAAGATTCATTGACATGAGACAGATTATCAGCTGTAACGACTGCTAACTAAACATCCATCCTGCACACAGAGTGCGCTGCTGCGGGTCAGAAAACGGCAGCACAGATGAAAGTGTTGGAATTAAAATGTGTAGAGGAATCAGGAGGAGGAAGGGGGATGGGAGGGAGGGGGGTGGCTTTTTAGCAATGAAAGACTCTGTCCGCTTTCTGAAAGTGCCCCTAATCCACCCATAACGCCATTACATGTGGGACACTCCGCCGATAAGCCCAACAATAGCGATGAGAGAGCCCATCCTAAATAGCATCACGTTGCCGAACACAATTATTCGCAAACACACAAAAAAAAAAAGGGGGCAGCCACTGCATTTTGCAGAGAGAGGGGGGGGGGGGGCAATTTCAATTTTAGATATGGCTCCAGACGGAAACTGGGCCACTGCAGGCTTTGATGTCTTAATTGTGCGTGTGTGTTTTTTTTATTCATAAACAAAGACATTGAGGCTCATTGATGGAACAAAACATAAAGAAAAAAGAAACAGAGAGGAACAGACAGGAAATGGAGATGGTGTGAAAGAGACATGGAATGAGAAATGGAGGAAAAGAGGGAGAGCGAGAGAGAGAAGAAGAAAGACGGGATAGAGAAGACAGCTAGAATATGGCGGGAGTGACAAATGGGCCTCAGATACAGAAGAGAGTGACAGAGCAAAGTACTGTGGAATCCCTGCTGAATGGGTCTTGATTAACTGTGGCAAGAGGTCAAAGCAGGGCCTCCGTCTGCTGGGGCCTGGCTTAGGAAAACTACGTGTGTGTGTGTGTGTGCGCAACTGTAATTTGCACTTCTGAGACGGGTGAATAGTGTTTGTAAGACGTTCGTCTGGTTAGTCTATAGGGTGGCAGAGCCTCATGAAGCCACGGTAGAGGCTGCTGAACATGTAGCTGGTAACCTTATGACTTTTTACATATTTCTTTGTGTATTTAAATGAATGGTTCAACATTTTTGGGTTTATTCCCTTTCTGGCCGAGGGGTTATTGAGAGAATCAATACCTCTCTCATGTCTGTCTGTTTGTCGAGGCTACAGCATAGACTGTGTATAAGAAGTGGACGTAGTCGTGACGTCACACATTGGTTTGTGGACTGTCGCTTTGAAGCCTCGAGTTCGACATTTTGTACATTGTCATCTTGGATTTTGGCCGTCGCAATCTTGTTCTGCAACAAGTGAATGGAAGTGACCACAATTGGACTGCGGAGTGACATATAGACTCCATATATGGCTCTGGTAGGTAGTAGCAACCTGTCAATCACCAGGTAGCCATGCCCTGAAGTAGACTCTGCTTCATGGTTCATTTGACTTATGGACTAAATGGACCATCATTTACTAAATGAACATCATGCAGTAGAGTAATTTTCTCATAGACTTCAATACAATCTGACTTCTTTTTGCAACCAGAGGAGTCGCCCCCTGCTGGCCAGTAGAGAGAATGCAAGTGTGACGCTCTTCAGTATTGGCTTCACTTGTTCTGACGGGGCTACAGCTAGGAGAGGGTTAGCTTAGCTTAGGTTAGCTAGCCTGGCTCCGTCCAAAGGTAAAAAAAAAATATGTATGCATATGAAGCTATTTTTAATTCAGGGTAATTCAGCAACTAATTTACGTACTAGATAAAAAATTCAAACAAATCAACAAAGTGTCAACAGACGTGGAGAAGCCTGAAATAAAACCCCTTTGTTGCACGCACTAGATTTTCACCAAACTGCACAGACAGCTAACTTACAAACACAATACAAACAAGTTAACTAACCTTATCTTACTCAGACAAAGTAGCACATTCAGAGCTCTCATAGGCTATAACCATCTAACTTGTGATGGATGAGGTCGGGTTCATTAACTCCCGTAGCCGTGGTTTCAGGTTTGCCCGTGTATATTTGTGCACAAAAGTAGCCTTGGAGGACAAAATGCGTGAACATGCAGCTGGAGTAAATACACTTTTCACATCCGTGGGTCTGTCACGGGCCTCAC